CCAGAAAGTGTAGTCAGTGAACCTACGATTAAGGGTTTCGAGCGTCAGTTAGACGCTCTTGGGTGGCAACACGAAACCTTTCCCTTCTCCTGACCATATCCACCTTCAAACTTTCAGTTCTTATTCTGTCATTCTCTTCACTCTTTGGTGTTATCCTTCATTTAAATGACTTTCATTCCCCTTTATCTTCCATTTACTTGCTACTTCCTTCTTACTTCACGGGGTGGATCTAGTTGTAGACAAATCTCGTCCCGAAACATGGCTGTCCACGGATATCACAGACGGTGAAGTATGTTTGTCTGGCTACGCACTGTTTAGATGTGATCGCTCCATTGGCCGCCAAGATGGGGGCGTCACTCTATGTGAGTTGTAAACGTGTAGTGTTGAGGACCTGTGTGTTGCAGTCGCCGGATCAAACTGTTGAGGCCCTCTCGACTTTTGTGTGCACTTCCTCTGTTCAGTTTACAGTTGTAGTGGTATATCGAAGCCCTGGAAGCATCTCTAAAAAGGTTATTGAATTTATTCCTACTCAGGCTGCCAATAGGTGTCTAATACTGGGTGACTTCAACCTCCCTGAAGTCTGCTGGGCTGATCTATCTTGCAGTTCGGCGGTGGACGCTTTCGGTTCGGATCTCCTTGAGCTAACATTGCAACTGACTTTGCGTCAGTTCGTGGACCTCCCGACTAGATATATGCGCAACCAAATTCCGTCTACTTTGGATCTCATTTTTGCGAAGTCATACGATTTCGTAAGTGATATTACCTACGGCTGTCCTCTAGGAGCCAGTGACCATGTCTGCATATCCTTTCGGTGTGCTTTAAGTGTCATCAAGCTACTGCTGAGGCATGTCCAAATATTTGGCGGGCGGACTTTAACGCAATGCGAGACAAAGCTTCAGTTTTGCGTTGCGCGATCACCGTGGCTGACACCGTTGATACAGTCTGCGAGAAATTTAAGTCATGCCTCACCGAGATCTCTGCTCCCCATATCCCAACTATTAAGAGACGGGTGACACGGGCACAGCCTCCTTGGATAAATCATACAGGTAAATACCTGCTCAGGAAGCGCTCTAAGTGCTGGCGAACTTACCAAGCGGCTTCATCAACCAGCACCTACGAAAGCTATCGGGCGTTTAGAAATAAATGTGAGCAACGTCTTAGAACTCTTCGCCTTCAGTACGAGGAGAATTTGGCTAACGCAGCCGTAACAAATCCAAAGAAGTTCCTTACTTACGTAAAGAGTCGCAGCGGTACAAACTCGTCTATACCGGTTTTACTACGAGCGAACGGGACCCATGGGCATACCGACTATGATAATGCTTGTATACTTAGCGAACAGTGTACTGGTGTCTTTTCTCATGAGGCCTCTCTACCTCAGGTTGAGCTGGTCACAAAAGTCCCAGAGAATTCTTGCCTAACTGAAATCAGCACAACGGAGACACAAGTCTTCGGGCTATTGCAAGGGCTAAATCCTTCTGGCCCTGATTCAATTCATCCGAAGCTGATGCATGAATTGGTCGCTGAGCTAAGTGGCCCTCTGACATGCATGTTTACAAGATCACTCGACAGGTGTGCCTTACGTTCGGAATGGAAGAAGGCAATCATCTGTCCGATTTTTAAGGGCGGTGACAGAGCTCTGCCCGCGAACTACCGGCCTGTCAGCTTAACAAGTGTAGTAGTTAAGTTGTTTGGAAAAGTGGTCAGGGATTCGGCGAAGAATCACCTGATTAAATTTAATCTTCTCAGTGCAACCCAGCACGGATTCCGAAGGGATTTTCATGTCTGACAAATTTACTTGTAGCTCGTGAAAGCTGGGCTGAGGCAGTAGACAACGGTCACGCTATCTACGTGCTTTTCGTTGAATTCTTGAAAATCTTTGATACTGTCCCACATCAACGACTCTCATTGAAGTTGAGATCGTATGGGATATCTGGAGCAGCCCTTAAATGGGTTTCTGCTTTCCTAAAGGGCAGAGGACAGTATGTACGCGTGGGGCGTAGCCTTTCGATTAGACAAGCTGTTCTTAGTGGCGTTCCGCAGGGCTCGGTTCTAGGGCCGTTGCTTTTCGCAATTTATGTCAATGACCTACCCCAGGAGCTTGAAGTACCGTCGCTATTGTTTGCTGATGACCTCAAGCTCTGGAATATTGTGGATATCCCTGGTGGCTCCGAGGCACTTCAGAGTGCCTCGTATAGGCTCTGGTTTGGTCAATCTTATGGTTGATGCCCATTAATCAGGCGAAATGTTCTGTCCTCCACATTGGAGGTGCTAGTCCTCCCACGCGCTATGTAGTTGGTGGAAGTGAACACCCTGTTGTCACTCAGCAGGTTGATCTAGGTATCACCCATACCTCATTGCTTCCCTCTGGGGACAATTGGAGGAAGGCTGGATTTAGAGGGTTCCGTATGATGTGGTTTATTCGCCGCTCCTTCGGTGTCCTAACAGCCAATATTTTTGTGAAGCTGTTGTCAGCTTTTGTGCGGCCCTACTTAGAGTACTGTATCCAGGCTTGTCCACCTTATCTTATAAGGGACAAAGTGGAACTGGAGAGGGTTTTGCGAGTGGGTACAAGGCTAGTGCAAGGAATACGTGGGCAAACGTATCCCGAACGTTTGCTTAGCTTGGGTATGTACTCAATGCACTACCGCAGAATTAGAGGAGGCTTGATCCTCACTTACCGTATCTTAACGAGTAAGATCGATCCAGACTTGTCCTGGCTATTTAGTCCCGCCAAGCTGCCTAGTCTCCGAGGTCACCCGTTGAAGCTGCACAAACAGCGTTCTGACCGGGTAAGGACGGAAACCCGCTTGTCGCGTCGAGGTATTGAACGTTGGAACTCGCTTCCGGCGCACGTGGTTAGGGAGTCTACGGTAGAGGGTTTCGAACGTCAGTTAGATGCTCTTGGGTGGCAGTACCTAACCTTCCCCTTCTCCTAACCGACTTGTATCTTCAACTTTCCCTCCTTTTTGAAACTTCTTCTCATACCTTGGTATTATCATTCTTTAATTGACATTCCTCCTCTTGTTTTCTTAGCTTACCCTTCACTCTTTTACTTCATATAAACCGGCCTGGCAGGGACTGCTGGGCAGGAAAATGTGGGCAATAATTGGTTGGACAGGGTGTGATGCGGTCTTTGTTTTAGGCTTTTCAACATCTCAAGCAGACCTATCAATTCCCGATCCGACGATACACAAAGGAAGGAACATTCACTGGGTTATCTTATCTTTCCGGTCTCAACTGAACTTGAGTTTGAGTGACTAATTAATAAGATTACTGTCTTAGTTTAACCATAACTGTAACCATAACTTTGGACACATGATCATTTCCGTTATCAATGTTTACTTTAGCTTTTAGACTTTCAGTGTAAGTTAAGAGCTCATGATGGCTTTCGGAGAGTAGCTCAACATGGCTTCTGGAGAGTACGCTCATGCATCTCTAACTTACTCATCGCCAGTGAAACATAGGCAGAAACCATAGATGCCGGAAAACAGGTTGACGTAATATTCATTGACTTCATTAAAGCCTTTGATAAGGTTCCACACGTACGACTGCTACATAAACTCCATGGAATTAGCATTACAGGAAATCTCACCTGGGTTGTCGATTTCTTAAAAGGTAGGACAATGCGCGTACAAGTTAACCAAACCCTCTCTGCTCTAGTGCTTATGATTAGTGCTTGGACCAGAGCTCTACAAACTGTACATTAACGATCTGCCGACTGCACTTCAAACCAACTGCTTGATCTACGCCGATGACCTCAAGCTATGGTCAATAGTATCTAGCCTTGAGGATGCGGACAGATTACAAGAGGCTCTAGACCAGCTACACGAATGGTCCACCAAGTGGCAATTGCCACTAGACCTAGATAAATGCGCTGTTCTCCCAATGGGTAGCACTGAACCGTACGGCGCGTACCACATTCGTGGGTTACTCCTCAGGAATACCACTCACGAGAGAGATCTCGGGGTTGTCGTGACTTCTGACCTTAGAACGGCGCAGGACACGTTAAAGAAGGTGGCTACTGGAAGGAGACTAGTGGGTGCCTTAATAAGATTATTCCTTCGAATGACTCCTGGGATTTTTCGAACTTCGTTCACTTCGTACGTCCATCCAGTCTTAGCATATGGCCTACCAGCTATCCATATGCTATCAAATTTTGTATGGTCTCTGCTGGAAAAGGTTCAGAGACGTGCATCGAAAGCTGTTCTGGGGCTTCGTGATCTCTTCGTACTCCATTCGACTCCAGCAGCTAAATCTGTTCTCCCTCGATCTCCGCCCTCGCCGGCGTGATCTCATCTCCACTAGGCGCATCCTCCGAGGGGAACTTGGAATTGAGTTACAACAATTCTTCCGGCCCAACACTGGCTGTTCAACACGAGCTCACACATGGAAACTATTAAAGCAAGGAAGGCACAGAATTCGCATGGACGTCACCCTATCCACTAGAGTGGTGAATGATTGGAACAACCTACCGGAAGAAATTACAGACGCTCTATCCGAGGAAAGTTTCAAGCGGCTGCTAGACAAACACTCGCTGAGAATGTTGGAATCTTGCGGCTGTCACTGCAGTTGCGACGAACCCTCGAGGAACGTCGTAATGCAACGACACGTATCAAACCCAGTGTGATACGGAATCAATGGGGCTGATAAGAGATTTCCCTCCTGCTCTCTACAACCCAGTGAACTCAATAATTAGGTAACTCCATGCATGGCAGCGGGTTTTACCAACCACACCACTGCGCCCGTATTCCTAGCTTTTTACACCCGCGCATTTGACGGAATTGCGTTCAACGGTCAGCTTGTAGCCAGTCCTCGGGCGTCACGGTAATACGTTAACGAGTAAGAGGTCGATCGCTTTCCATTCCTGTTATCCCTCCCTTCCTATTCCACTCCGGCACTTTCCCTTCCCTCTTCCTTGCTTCCTTAGCTACCTCCCTTACATCGGTCTCTTACTAGGCGGCTCGATCGTCCAACCGTCTACGAGGTACTTATTTTTTTTTTGCAGCTTGTCGCACAACTTGGACACGGAAGAGCATAGAAAGCCAGACCGGAGGAATATTACAAGCTTTGCTATGCGCTTGTGCGAGTTTGAAGTGTACGGCAAGGTTCAGGGTAAGCATGGCGGTTTCCACTTTACTGCTTCTAGGGGTGTTTTTCCGTAAGGTAAGTCTATCGTTCAGCGGCGGTATCTAGTCGCAGTACGCCCGCGAATATGCCAAGAAGGTCGGTCTCGTTGGTTGGGTCAAAAACACGGAACAAGGTACAGTATGTGGTGTTTTCGAAGGTCCTGATGAAGCTGTATCTCTGTTGTAAGTCTGGTCTATGACGTAATTCTCTCAAGTAAACAATGGCTTGCCAACACCGGGAGTCCGAAATCAAAAATAGATAGATGCGAAATCAAATCGGAGCGTTCGATCAGCCATACCACTTTCTCTGACTTCCAAATTCGTCGTTAATAAGCTGTTTGTTGCTATTTCGGTGAAGAATGACCAGGAAGCATTTTGTTCTGCTATACTTTCCTTCCTCAAGTTCACTATTGTTTTCCTTGTCTTCCAAATACTATACTGTACTATAGTCCTTCCACGAGCACACTATTTGGCCACAATCTCAATATTTATTTTACAACATGCTAAGGCTAATTGTCTGGGTTGGACATCCGACAGTCTTACTTTTTATGCACTTATTAAACTACAATTCGATTTAAACCCACTATCGGTATGAGGCAGGTTATTTCACGTTCCAAGGACGATTTGGGCTTCCATGTAACGAGCATCCTTTTTCTTGCCCTTTAGAAAATCAGGGTCCCCGGCCCTAAGACATTTAATCGGCTCATTTTACTTTTCTGCGAGATTACAAGCAAAAGCATTTCCGTTTCCTTGACGGTAAATTGAAATTCCTGAACTTACTGTCTATTTACATCTTTGATTTCGAAGAACAGTTCAGGAACTATGTTTACAAGACTATCCTGCAACTTTTTGCCTGGTCAAATTTCATTTGATGCAAATGTTTTTGGATTGCTATTTTCCCCGTACAACGTCGTGGATTTAAATTCCGATGGGACTGCAACGATAGGAAAATCCCTTGAGTGTGACTTCTTGAGCAGATTATTGAGCCAGGAAATGTTAACCTGCTACGATATCTTGACAGATCCAAAACGAAACACCCGAACCACACCCTAGTCAAACAATTACTGCCCACGTTCCCTGCCTTAGCAGTCCCCGCTGTGCATAACATATGACCTAAGAGCGTTAGGAAAAAAGGAAGATAAAGCGTGGCAAGTCATTTAAATAAAAGAACACCAACTGGTGAGGAGAATCACAGAATATGAACTCAAAGTTGGAGGATGGATAGGGTCTGGAGAAGGTAAATATTTCGTGTTTCTACCCAAGCGCATCTAACTAATGCTCAAAACCCTTTACCGTAGGTTCATGTTCAAGTGGGGAAGGACAATAGGAGAATCTCGTGAATATTCCGTTGTGGAAGCGTCTTTGAGCCGGTGTGGATTTCAGCGATTCGGTTTGTTTTCTGAGAGTATAATCGGCACGCGTTTCACATCGTGTTCAACCAATCAATGCTTATGTATCATGCACTACGCTGTGCTGGTCACGTGAAGTGGAAGCAAACCAAAACGGGATGAAGTGAAAGGAAAAACCAGGGGAACAAAAACCTAAAATAGACATTGGCAATCAAGACAAGAAAACATCAATGGAAAATTTTAATTCAGGCTAAGAATCGAACAGAAACTGTTGTAGCTGCATACCGAGGACGTCAACTCCGTGTTCAAACGTCCTAGCCGTAGGTGCCAACACTGCATTCTCAGGCAGGGCATTCCATGTCGGTTACCCTACACTATAACCGAACACCAGCCCTCACATGATCGGATTAATGCTTGTGGAGCTTCCTTAGTTGCCCACAATGAGTCGGCGATCTAGCCTGAAGGAAAAAGTGGGATAAGTCCGGACCAATCTGACTCGATGAGATGCGATAGTTTGGTGTAGATCGCTTTGGCGACGTCGATAGTGTGGGGGAAAAGACCCAGACTAGGCAGTCTCTCAGTATAGCACACGTCTTAGCCCACGCACCATCTTGGTGCCAATCCTCAAAACCCAATCCACTGCCATCTTGTCCCTCACTAAGCAAGGGGGCAGGTTTGGGCGCTGTACTCTGAGTAAGGTCTGACGAAAGCCTTTTAATGTTTACCAAACATCTCGCCCGTTAGAATTCCGAATGATCTGCCAATCATCCACGGCATTCTGAATCCATTGGAAGCAGCCTTTGTCGAGTTTGCGCTGGACTTGAGTTTCTGTGTCATCGTAATAGCTAGATCGGTTTGATCGGATACACATGGCAATTTGTTGCCCCCTAAAAAGTAAGGCGTTGATAGACCACGGTCCCCAAGACGCAAAACTGAGCACTTTGAAAGATTTTTGGGCACTTACCACAAAGTGGACCAGTTCCAGAGTCTATCAAGCATTCCCAGGACACGACCTAGAAGATGTGGAGCTGCTTTCTGATGAGCGACTTCTTGACTTGGAGTATGCGGACGATATTGCTCTCATCTGTGACAGCTCCCAGATGTGCCAAGCAGCACTGGACCGATTAGCACTAGCTGTCATTCGCCTTGGGCTATGCTTTGCCCCATCGAAATGCAAAGTACTTCTCCAGGGTTGGCCGGAATCGACCCCTACGCTGACCCTTGGTAGTGGGCAGCTAGAAGTCGTTCGGGAATTCGAGTATCTGGGCAGCTAAATTAGCCTCTCGTGCATCGAATATGAGAGTGCGAACCGTATAGCAAAAGCTCTTGGTGCTTTTTCCAATCGCCGCCACATGTCGCGTAGACGCGACATCACTCGCTCTGAAGGGAAGTGTATAACGCAACACTGTACAACCCTCTGATACGGTTGTGAAATCTGGCCTATCAGGTCGACACATAAACAGGCTAGTCACGTTTGACCATCACTGATTTCGCACCTTAGCTCATTTTTGATGGGGGTACCGCACGAGTGATGAGCGTGTTCGGTGTCATGTATATGGTGCGGGAAGAGCGAGTGAACCGCTCGGCACCATTATAACACGCACCAGGCTGCGATGGCTAGACCACGTGTTGCGCATGCCAACACACCGACTCCTGCGATGTGCATTGTTTGCGCGCCGGGGGTGCGATTGGAAGAGAAGGAGGGGAGGGCAAGCGATGGCTTGGTCGAGAGAAATGAAAACCCTCACTTCGAAGTTGGCGTCAGTTGGTGCATCCCGACTGCCTGGCTGGGGTCCTATAGACGTTGAACACGTTTGGCTGGACACACTTGCTGATATGGCTAGGAGCCGGCCCCAATGGCTTTTGTGTTGCGAGTTCCTTTGTCCCTCCCCTCCCGCTTAGCCCCCGCTCCAACTACGATCTCAATTATTAGGCGTAATATAACTATTTTGCGACACAATATCCGGCTGTTAGCTCTCTGGAACGATGTCCACCCGTTACTGGTGACTCAGCCGGCGTATCTGTTTCATTTTTTTGTATTGCGGCACAATAGCTGTATTTTCCACCTGCAACTAATGTGTATAACGAATGATGATGGTTCTTGAAAATGTGACATACCATCGTTTCCTTCCTGTCAGAAGATAAGGAGCAGTAGAGATGCGACTTCTCAAACAAGCGCGTGATCGGCTTACAAAGCTGAGCTGCGAGGTTACACAGCTTGGGGTGAATAGCATCTACCCCAAGCGCTTTGGTAGGATTTAATTCCTGTAGTAGCACGAGCACCTGAGTCTCTGTAACAGAGATATCCGTCAGCAGAGAGTCAGGCCTAACTTTCATCTCCAGAGCACTTGGTGGCAAGCAAGATTCTGTAACAAATGACCGCGCATGCAGACCTTAGCGTAGTCTGTTTTAGCAGCATTGCCGTCAGTATCATACAAGACTGGAAGGAGTGAATTTAATTTAGTCTTCTTCCTGCTACAGGCGAAGAAGCGCTTTGGATTTACAGAAGCCAAGTCGACCAACTCCATTTCATAGCATAGTCGAGATGCACACATAGGTTGTTTACAGGCATTCCGCGTCCGAAAGCGCTCTCTGAGATACGTCCGCGAACACTTGGTCCGCCTCTTCATCAGTCGACGTGCAACTGAACCAAACCACGGAAGCTTCGTCTTTTTAGCCTTCCTCATAGAAATGGGGGTTTGGGGGAGAAACACCTCAGACATGTAGGGCTTGAAGTACTCCCGAGCGGTCTGCAAGTCATCGTCGGCAGAGTTGATGCAGGGCGAAGTTGCGACCTTAGCTCTGATCGCGAGGAGATCCGTTCGCCATCTATTCGAACTAGGAATGTCATCAGTGTAGTCACGGAAGTGGGCACACTTGAGTGACAAACATACGTGATCACTAGCTCCCAGAGGCGTTTCTCAAGTAAGTTCACTTTTAAAATCTACACAAACAAATCTACACAGACAAACTCAGCCTCCTGGTTCTCCAGGTTGGGGGTTGGAATGAGGGTGGCACCTTACTCCTTAAAATGGGCTCTTTGTAGCCCAACGCCAAACCCGCTGCCTTGCGGACAGGTTTTTGAACAAAAGGCTTTGGTTGAGAACCGTAATCGTTCTCATGTCTAGGCCTGGACAACCTGACAGTATCCTGCCCACGCAATACAATGAATCTTTCCTCAAACAATTTCTTGATGTTCTGGACACCGCAGACGATAATAAACGGTGCCCTATCTGCTGCATCGAGCAGGGTGGATAGGGGTTTGGATGCTATTGCTCAAGCCTTTTCGTCTTCTTATTCCCCCTCTTACGTTTTTCACTCTTACCGTCCCGTTCCAACTTCACTTTCATCCCCCCAGTTTTCAACCCCCGATTCTTGGCCCTCCCCCAACATACTTTGCTAGGCATTTATCTTCTAATTTCAACTCACATGCTGACGCGGAGCGTCACTCCTCTCCTGTCGACAAGCCCATGTCCAATCAAGCGGCCCATTCCAGTTCGTCGGCTTGCGTTTGGAGTCCTCGATCCTCCTTCAGATTGGCATGCCTCCATGTACGCACATTACTACAGATCGGTCAACAGGCAGCACTTGCCCGAACATTGGAGACCCTCCCGATCGATATCTGCTGCTTATCGGAGACCCGTCTGCAAGACTCGAGCTCTGTGCTCACTCTGCGATCCCCTTCAGGTGACGCAAGCAGTGTTTTCCCACTGCGCCTATCCGGTGACGATGCAGCTTCGAGCACCGGCCAAGCTGGTGTTGGCATCTCCCTGAGTCCCCGGGCTGAAGCTGCTCTGGTTGATTGAATTCCAATCAGTAGCCGGATGTGTGCGGTCCGATTGGCTGGTTCGTTCAAAGCTTCGAAGTTGCGCGGGACTAATACGTGTCTGTTCATCATCGCTGCCTACGCACCCACCAGCTGTAGCGATGATTCCGTAAAGAACGACTTCTACCGCCAAGTGACCCAGCTCCTTCGCCATAGAAGAAGCACGAACACTGTTGTGCTGGCTGAGGATTTGAACGCGCAAGTTGGAAAGCTGTCCACTGATGAAATGCATTTGGGCGGTCTGCACGGTGTAGGCTCCCGTAATGATAACGGTGAACGGATATTTCATTTGTGTGAAGATGCTCGCTTATTTCTTGCGAGCACTAACTTCCGACACAGCACCCGCCGGTGGGTGACTTGGCGCCCACCAGCCTTGGACGCAGATCGATCACATTGCTATTAATTAACGCTGGAGAGGCTGCGTCCAGAACTGTCGCTCGATTTGGAGCACATGTGTGGACACCGACCATGCACTTGTATGTGCTGACGTGCGGATGCGTTTTGGCGGACGCGCACGACGACGCTGTGAGCGCATTGACATCAGCCAGCTGTTCTGAATGCGTATTGAAGTACGCTGACATGCGAGTTGAGTACGCGCTCACTGGGGACAGTTAATGGTCACTGGTCACATGTTCACCAGACCTTATTAGCAGCAGGCAAATCCTCATGTGATATGTTGGGATGAAAGCCTTATCAGATTTACAACTAAAATCCTGCTACTAATGAGTACTATAAAATCAAAAAGCCTCTCCTAGTTTCAAATGCTATGGATTTAGCGTCTAGCGAGAGGACGTCATCATCTTGCAGGCTAACCACTGTCAGTGACAGTGATAGATAGGTGGTGCTATATCCCAGCTAGTTTGCAAATTATGTAGCCCAGCCAACGTCCCCCATGGCTCAGTGGCTTAAGCTGCTGGCTAGTTGGCATCTGCCTCTAGCGGTCATGGGTTCGATCCTCATTAGAGGACCGAGGGAATGCGCGCCACTGACGAGCCCCAATAGGACGAAACGCGTCTGGCGCTTTTCCGGACTAGGCTCTGCTATGTAGCTTGTGAACTGTTGGGATGAAAGCCTTATCAGATTTACAACTAAAATCCTGCTACTAATGAGTACTATATGTCTAATTGCCAACATGTTTATCGGATCTCTTCGCAGTCTCTGGAACTTATAGATGCTCGCCGGCATATCCCCGCTGGAAGCGAACACAATGAAACTCGCAAAGAGCTCCGGACAAGACTTCGTGCTAGCCTGAAGAACCGCGAATCTTCGTGGTCTCACCGTGCGTCAGAGATGGAAGTGGCCGCTGGCCTTGGCAACCATCGTAAGTTATTCGTCTGATACGGGAAATGAGCAACAGGAGACCTGGTGTTAGTGAAGCTATACGTGACGAGAGTGGACAGCCTATCCACAATTTGTCAAAACGCTTAAAGCGTTAGGCTGAGCATTTTGAAAAGCAATTTATTCGGCTAAAATTGTTCAATTCGCCAGTCACTGATCGCCCCGCTCCGTGGGCTGTCCCTTTGGATCCACCCTCTCGCCCAGAAGTCGAACGTAAGATCGGACTGTTGAAGTTGAACAAAGCCGCGGGATCAGATGATCTTCCTCTAGCCCTCTTCAAATTCGGAGGCTCTGCTCTTGTTGATAATTTACATGAATTGCTAGTGAAACTGTGGGAGCAGGAGACTGTCCCAACTGACTGGAGCCGCTCCATTATTGTTCCCATCTTCAAAGGAGGCTCGCGTTCGGAATGCGGCAACCATAGAGGAATCAGTCTGATCTCTATCGCATCCAAATTACTCTCCTCCATAGTCCTTCACAGACTGATTGGCGCTCGTGAAAGCCATATCCGTGAAGGGCAACTCGGGTTCCGCCGTGGTCGTGGCTGCATTGACCACATCTTCACTTTGCGTCAGTTGTTGGAGCACCGTCACACATATTGGCGGCCCACCGTAGTCGTGTTCTTCGACATCAAAGGTGCCTTCGATTCGGTTGATCGATGTGCCCTTTGGGACTGTCTACTCAGGAAAGGTGTGCTCGAGAAATATGTAAATATTATCCGAGCATTATACGCGCGTAGCACGGGCAGAGTGGGGGCTTACGGCAAGCTGTCGTCGCCCTTTACTATCTCCAGCGGTGTGAGACAAGGATGCCCGCTGTCACCTTTCCTTTTCAACTTGCTGTTGACGAAGTCATGGAGATTGCATTCACAGGACATGACTTGGAAGGTGTGGAACTACTTCCAGGAGAACGACTTCTCGACTTGGAGTATGCAGACGACATCGCCCTCATCTGTGACAGCTCCCGAACGTGCCAAGCCGCGTTTGGCAGATTGGCACTGGCTGTCAGCCGCTTCGGGCTTTGCTTTGCACCATCGAAGTGCAAAGCGTTCCTCCAAGATTGGCAAGGATCGCCTCTTGCGCTGACCGTTGGTGGTGGGCAGCTAGAAGTCGTTCGGAAATTCAACTATTTGGGAAGTTGTATCAGCGTCCTTGGGATCGAAGAGGAGATCACGAACCGTATAGCAAAAGCTCGAGGTGCTTTTTCTAACCTTCGCCACTTATGGCGGCGGTGCGACATTACTCTCGCCCTGAAGGGTAGAGTGTACAATGCAGCGGTACGTTCGACCTTACTGTACGGTTGCGAAACCTGGCCCCTAAGATCGGTGGACATGAAGAGGCTAGTTACGTTCGACCATCGGTGCCTTCGCAGTTTGGCTCACATCTGGTGGGAACACCGCATGAGTAACGAGCGTGTTCGAGGCCTTGTTTACGGCACAGGAAAAGGAAATGAACCACTCAGCACCGTCATTCCACGCACCAGGCTCCGATGGCTGGGCCACGTGTTGCGCATGCCAGCCCATCGACTTCCACGACGTGCGTTGTTTGCTCACCGGGGATGTGGATGGAAGAAGAGGATGAGTGGCCAAGCCATGACTTGGTCGAGAGGAATGAAGGCCCTCACTTCTGAGCTGGCCTCGGTTGGAGCGTCACGGCTCCCTGGTTGGGGTCCAAAAGACGGTGAACACGTTTGGCTGGATACACTTACTGGCATTGCAAGGAACCGACCTCAGTGGCGTTCGTGCTGTGAGTTTCTTTGTCCCTCCCCATCCACCTACGATCTCATTTCTTAGCGTAAAACAATATTTTTTTAAATTTTTGCTTAGTAGCCGGCTGATAGCTTACCGGAACGATGCCTATCCGTTGCCGGTAGCTCAGCTGGCATGCAACTTTTGTATTTATTTTCCTTTTTCATTTATGTAATGCGGCACAGTAGCTGAGGTGTTTCCCACCTCTGGCTGATGTGTGTAATGATGATGATGATGATGATAGTGTGGCCGGAGTCGTGCGCCACCATAACGGGTTCTGGCAGGGTAATAGTGGACCTTCGGCTCACCACCCAATAATCTACCATCTGAAGACCCTTAATGCCATTGTCACGATGTGCTTTAAGGTTTTTGATACTCACCTTGAGCTTCAGTCTGTTAGCCAAAGGAAGGTCCAGCTGTGCACTGACCTAAAAACCCTCGAGTTTAAAAGCTAAGTCGCAGGAGTGGCTGGCGTTCATCTGGAGTGGAAAGAACCACTCGCGAAAGACGAGGACGGGGGTTCAGTTCGCCAACTTGTACGTTACTAAGACTTTTCTAACTGTTACCCCGGGGAACCCGGGCGGCAATGATTTAGAAACCCAGTCTAAGATTTTTTTTAGATTTTCCATGGTACGCTCTGTCGAAAGAGAAGCAGTGAGCTCAGATGGTTGGTAGCATCCGGTTTCGGATTTGCCTATCACTGTGGCAAGCCACAGGACGCCTGCGCTTACAGAGGGACCATGGATGGCTTGCGCCGCAACACCCACAGCTCCAACCACACACCCCATATCCAGTGTAAACCCGAAGGAATAAGACCGGGAGGCATGCGGATGGGAACCACGTTTCATCAACGGAGCCGGCCCACACTCCTTCACAGCAAACACAAGCACAATGTATTTGGGAATCGAGCGCACACAAGGCGGTGGCTGGACCGTAGTCCGCTCCATACTGAGTGCATGGAACCACTCTTCGAGCCTAACACGGCCACAAGAACCGTGCACCCCGTCACCTCCAGCAACGACCAACTGTCTCCTGGAGCCAGTATGGACGGGGTAGCGAGGTGGGTTCAGATACACCCCCTAAATATGAAGCTACCATCGGTAATTAGGTCGTCGCGACGTGATATTTACTGCTCATATCACCGAAACAGATGGATGCACGTCCGCAGTGGGTTTTGAAAGTTCAGTGGACGCACAAGTCGATGACTGGGGCGGCACAACATTGGGACTTGCAGTCAAAGGAACTGACTGCGTATCACCTGTAGGGCTGACTTCAGGTGTAGACGGGGCGATTTTGAAAACACTTTCACCCTTTGGTAGATGCAGGAGCGTGCATTAAGGGCAGGTTCAAAAACAATCCGAAAGGTCTTCACAAACGGTAGCAACCCCTACAGTGGCTGTTGTGAGAGTCGAATTGAGTGAGCTTGCTGAATTACAGGAATCTACAGCAGTCTCTTGGCTGAGAGGTCTCAACAGCTCAAAGCTAGCCGCAAGTTTTTCGACTTTCCCATCTAAAGAAGTCAACAGTAGCAATAGAGGTTGTAGGTTATCTAAGCTAGCAACTAGTGTTACGAAACCGCCCGCTGCCGACGGACACTGATGGGTTCTGCCCCTACAGTCGGAGCGGAAAAATTCCAACCTCGGAACATACTGCACACGGTATACGACAAACAAGAAAATAACAACAACAACAGCATTACATCAGCCATGTGAACTGATGCTTCGCTGCTACACAACCATGATGGCTTACAGAAAAGAATAATAAGAGAGGAGGGGGACTTACCTGAAAACCTTGATGCCCTAAACAAACATTCAGGGTAAAGGCGCCTACATCTTGTGTAGACAACATACCGTCACAAACAATTGGCTGTCGTGCAAAGATAAGGCGGCATCGGCGAGACAGCTTCCTTGCGACTTTCACTACCCCGCGTCATAATCAGCCATTATCCCTCAGATAACACAGCACCCAACACACTTTAAACAGGCAATCCGATTAGGAGACGGCAGCAGACGCGCCACTGGTGTCGGTTGCGAGCCATGTCCTGTAAAGTCTCGAGACAAGCACAAGGCGAGTAACGTAGACTCCAGTCCGGACGGCGAGACAGACCAACGGCACCCAGTTTGGTCGTCAGTGACTTCATTTCCCGCTGCCAAGTCAACTTCTGTCCACCTCGAGCCTTGCGCCATCCTACACCTGGTAGACTGAACAAGGCCCTCCTAGGTAAGCGGTGACCAGGCATGCGTAGCACGTGCCCGAGCCAACGCAACTTATTCAGTGCTATCTATTGTTCTGGGGATATAGCATGATTATCACCACCTAACACTCTCCTACGCACATCATCGTTGCGGACACGCTGGTGCCATGCGACACCAGCAATGCTTCGCAGACAACGATGATCAAAGACTTGAAGCCGCTTCAGATTTAAAGACCGAAGGGGCCAAGTCTCACTACCATAAAGCATAACGGCGCTCACTGGGACCTTGTATACACGGCCTTTCAGACGAAGGGAAACTCCATTCTGTTGCCACAGATGTCGCAGATTCAAGAAGGCAGCTCTGGCCTTTGCAATGCGTGGGCTGACGTCAGTTTCTATGCGCCCATCATTGCTGATGCAGCTGCCAAGATAAGTGAATTGATCAACCACCTCGAGTTCCTCGTTAGCAAGCGGATAGTGGCTTTCCGACGTGTGTTATTCATGGTGTGATTTAGTACTGCGGTATTGGTTCATACGTTCTAGCGATGATTAGAAGTCGAAGTAATTGCTTTTTGAAGTGACTGGTAGGGTGTTTAGTTGGATGCGCAGGAAGATCGGGCTATTTCCATTCACACTAGAGACTAATTCACTCGCGGATATCAGCGTGGGACTCGCAAATCGGATAAGGACGACCACTCGTTTGAAGTCCCACAGAACAGGGGGATCCAGCACTTAACTAGTCAATTCGATCCAAAGCGCTTTCGCTCAGTCTGGTTACAACTAGCTAGGTGCAGCTTTGGATAGTCCGAAACTGACCAACCAATGAGAGCTTTACACCTGCGACCAAGACAAAGCAAAAGAAACCTAGAATATCTGTTGGCCATTCGTTGCTATCAAACTAGGCGGATTGGAGTGCTTAGTTTTTTCACGCTGAAAATGGTGAGGAGTGTGTCTGAAATGCATTGGCAGACAGCTGATTGAAGGATAGCAAGCAGTCGATGGTGAGATGTGTTTACCTTCCGAAACCAAGAGAGTGCATGGACGCGTGAACTCAGTTGCAGCACTTGATCTTCGTGGAAGCGATGTCCCAAGAAATAAGGCCAAACACAAATAAGCAACAATTCGGGGACAAAGATAAAAGTAGGCGGACAAGCAGTGGTTGATCAAGACGAGAAGGATGAATGGTAAAAAACTGTACATACATCCAAATGTGTGCATGTGATCGTGTGCAATACTGTTGCTGAAAAGGTTGAACAACCATCACTGCGTGGTGCGTCGGCCGGCAGTGTAGCGGACAACCGCGATGTCAAAAGGATAAAAATAAGATTGAAAGCTCGAGGTCGTACACTCAGGTCGAATGTAAACGGACGCAACTCAATTGCCGCAGTCCTCAAGAACACTAAGCAATAGTAAGAAGGGCAGTCCTAAATGGGAGTGAATTAACACTGAATCGTTGAAGAGTGGCTCAGTTTGGGCAGCCACCACAAGGACGCGGAAGGCAGCTGGTTAGAATATAACCCAATGCGCATTCACACACAGGTGAAGGATAAGGTTGTTCTGACGATGTGCAGTGCAGCATGTTGATCTGAAGATAGCGCCAGTGAAAAATGTGAAATAGGCGTCAGTATAAATCTTTGTGTCCGGCCAGTAGGTAGATGTTTGAGTTTGACATTGGATCATCACTTGGTCTGCTTTCCAAGATCACATTCCTGTGGAGGGGAATGACACTGTGATAAAGGTCAAATCCAAATTTGGAAATCAGCATTAAACGGAAAAATCGCTACATAAAGGGTGGCGAAATGATCGATGTGTTGGCAGATATAGGTAAAATGGGATAAACGACTGCTACATAGTGAGCGGATCTGAGGGAAACTGAAAGAAACATTCTCAATGAGTTCTGAGTAAAAATAAGAATCTAGTCTCTAGAGTGTTACCTAGGGCCACTCGTTAAGGGGAGCGCTCGGTTCAAGTAAGTCCAAACAATAGGTGAGACGAAGGTGGTGCTGTTGTGTCTGTGGGCAATTACAAGAGAAAGCTGATGTATGCGTGCAACAAGTGCAGCGACAATCTGTACACAACTTGTAGCTAGACGTAGTGAAGGCGCGTGTCCGAGGCATAAATGGCCAGAACCTCGCCATGCTGTCAGTGGTGTCCAAAACTACACCGCCTGTTACTGCAGAGAAACGTGTAATGTGAATAGCTGCATGGTTTTGGTGCAAGCAGCTATTCAGGCCCACACTAGGCAGCGTACAACCATAGAAAACTTCGATGATGTGTGGTAGCATCTCCGGACTTCTGGGACCAAATTGCACAATGGGTTCAGTGTTTACGAGTAACCAGAACAAGCAGCAAAATAAAGGTGCGAGGTGTGAAGATGTTCAAAAGTGGCCATAGTAGAATGTACTAAATATTGCATATCAAAACATGGGATAAAAATTCTGTAGGGTGAGCATGGACTGAGAGTTCTTAGACGCAGTGTTGGTTAAACAAAGACTCAGAGCTCCCAAGAAAGTTATATCAAAACATTTACAAAAATGACCTTCCGACGCCCAAAGATGCTAGTCAATAAGACGATTGGAGGAAACTGTCGGAACTAGCAGTGTTTCAAAATGTTCTATAAATGACTCGTTTATCGTGGGTCGTCGCCGACGTTTAACAGGACGACTAAAGTAACGAAAGTCGTGAAACAATGGTCAAGTAAAGATGACAGCCTCGACATACTGGAGTAATAAACTGGCGTTTAAAGGAAAAACAACCCACCAGTGTGGAATTCCCAAAAACTATTGAAAAGGGCTTACTTGTCACAACCCAGTAGACGATAAACGTGTTTCTCATCGTTAATATCCTGCGTCAGCTGCAGAAAAAATGAGGGTCAACGTGTAGCAAGAACGTGATGTGACTGCATCATATGCGTTAAAGACTTTTATTGAAGAGATACCACTCTTTGTTGACAGAAATGACTTTTCTCAAGTAGGATGGTGTTCATTCCTCGCTGGAAGCAATCAGTATGTCCGTCCTGGATACGAAGAGCCAGTGGAGGGTGATCCTGTTAGTAACGAATAGCAATCTACATCCTACACATTTCTAACGGCCCAGAGTAGGACGCATCATTTTGATCCAGCGAATTTTGCATCCAAAGCAAACGGATAAAAGTTCAGCTGGTAGTTGATTATAGCAATTTCAGCAAAAACGCTGACCGAAGAATGTAGCACCAAAGGTAACAGAGGAATAAACACAAGGGAACCAGTCAACCCCTTTTAGCAGCCGTTCCGTGAAGGAAAATTTCAGCGCAAAACAAACGTGCAAGCTCACTTCACCACTTCAGAACCAATGACAATTTGACAGCTGAGCTCGATCAAAACAGATGTTTATCACCTTCCCCAATTTTGTTAGCAGGTTGAAAATTTTAATCCATAATATGCAAACGGATGAGAACCCTGACAATGCCGATAAGATTGGAAAATAAATTAAAAATTGAAAGAGCCTTGATGAAGTTCATCCCTTATGATAAGGAGAGGACAATTCGTGTATTCGACTCCTTTGATTACGGTATATACTTATAAAAATGAAAGACTTTCCAAAATTGAGCGGTTTAACATGATAGTGATCAGGTATTCCACACAGCGTACAATGCGCAAGCCAGTCGGTTTCAGCTTATTCGAGTCTCCTAGGACTAGTGATCCGACGAGGTGTTTCGAGAGCAACGTAGAGAAGAATAATAGTTCTCAGTCAACAGTGGAATGATATCTGGACGACGCTAAGAAATGTAGAACGGAGGCTAGGCTATTCAGCACTAGATCATCACTAGCTATCATCAACATTAATGAGGTATGGTCAAGGGAATGGAAATGTCTTGTTCCGTCCGCGGTGGTACTGGTGAACTCATGTCCCGGGTGATATTCGGTGACCCAAGCTACAACGTTAGCAACAGATCAGCAGAATTGACCAACCCGACGTCCAAGTTAGTATCAGAAGGTGGATAATCAGACCACATCGCACAGCCATTGCTTCATTTGTCGATAGCATCTCAGAACGTGAGTTTCGAATGATCTAGAACGGAACTCGGTAGTTCAGTTGCACCATTACCTCCAAAGGTATCGGTGGTTAATAGTGTCTCGATTACAAACGTAGACAGTATACTAAAACATACAATAGTGGAAAACACACGAAGATCCGACGAGTCATTAAGAGACAATCAATATAGCATAATCCCGATACCCTAACGAGTGGCTACTTCAAATACTAGTCGTAGACACGAGACAAAACCCGTGTTGTCACAGGGAGGCACAAAACGATTATTTACCTCAACAAATTCAATTTGTAAGCAGTCTAATGAGCTGACTTTCTTCGCTGGTGAGCTGAGGTAAAATTTACTGAACACGGTCTTATTGGTGTCAGGAGGACTATTTTTGCTCCCGTGAAAGTGGTAACCCTAGGGTTAGAACCGGACTGTGCGGCTTTAACATACCAATGGTGGGTGTTTGCAGTCACACACTTTGAGCATATGTTCATCTTTCCTCGCAAAATTGGCGGAACAGAAGACTGAATGACCAAGGTTAACGGATACCCGGGCTAGACAGAATAATCGGCATACAAAACACCGCCTAAGAAGAGAAAAATTATGTGAACAAGCAGTGTGATCCTGATGTCACAGCCCCCTGCTGCCTCTACGAAAGTGTACGGCCCATTACAGAAAGCAAAACAAGAAACTGCTGCATAGTGTAGCGCAACGGTAGAACAGAGCTCGGAAGTAGCCGCCAGAAAAGATGTGAATGGCATAAATGCTTATGATTCTGTTCTGCATGTTACAAGAAATACATGGACAAAAGAGTAAACCACGACCAAAATTGAAGTTGATCACAACGCTGGACAGTAGACTACAAACCATACCTGGCCATCAAAGCCAATACCACGAAGTCCGTGCGTGTGGAAACCGAGCACGCTGTCTTGCAGACAAACTAAAATGTAGGGGTAGTGCAGAAAATAGACGGACGATTAAAAAATGCGTATTATTCGCAGAACGCTCAAATGTACAAAACGATTACAAAGTACAAACATAATAAGAACCAACATTGCACAGTAGGAGTTAAAGTACGAAGAATTTGTTCGCGCGTTGAGGACGCCAATGACTTTTGTCAAGTGCGTTGCTGTTTCACGATTCGGATAGGAATGCGTTTGCGGCCATGATGCAAAATGTAGGGTCACTGAATCCCAAGTGATGTCTGCCTCTCGCTGGTGACCTGTGATTTGTGACTATGGACATTCAAAAGTAGCACACACATTGTAATCGAGGTCACATCTGTTTGGACTCTATTCTCTTCTAAGAAAGAACAGAGATGTTTATGGTCCATGGGAAGATTGCATTTTTTTCACACAAAAGTAAGACCGTTGAATGTGATTCCGATCACGCGAAAGTTGTGGGGCCCACCTTGTTCCTGAACTAATTCAACGAGAAACCTCGACTTATTCGGTCGTGTTGTGTCTTATTCGCGAACAAGCTGAAGAGATGGAGAGTAATCGATGCACCTGACGATTGTAACATAACTAAACACGATCTCAGCTGCCTCCACATGTGGTCAGCCGAGATCAATCACATCGCCAACCCAGTCAAATCGTTATCTATGAGCCTGAAGGTAGTAATAGGGAAATGTATTCTATGGCCCGCGAACTGCAACATTCAACACATTTCGTGAAGGACCTAGGCGTTATCTCACGTTGCAGTGGAACACTGGTATAGTACGAGTAAAAAAAGCAAATGCTTAACGAGTCCCCTAGAATCGCCAGAGTGAGAATCACAAAACGGTAAAAAAGAGAAGTGATAAAATGAAAAGCGTTTTGGTAGACTTACAATAGTGTTCATACACATGCATGCAGAAAAAAACCAAACTAGAATATGTAGTTTAATGCTGGTTGTATATCTTCTGTTGATGTACACAGGTTATATCACATATTGCAGTTGGGTTAGGATAAGGTCAAGGCATTTTTTAAACGTAATTTGGGAGGACGTTACATATTTGACACACACGAAGGGAGTAAGAGTTTCGCTGATATTCTAATCGACTGTATTGCGTGGCCAACTTGAGCTTGTGACCCCTCGAATTCGTCTTGTGACTGATCTGCAGTAAGGGGCAGAAGACGTGTTTGGGACTCCACAAAATCTGGTAGGTCATTAGTAGGTTGTGATGTAGGCACCGCTAGCGGCCGCTGTACAATCATAACGTCGTCAACCTAAACTGATGTGAAAGGTGAAACAACCCTTTGACGTACTTGGTGGCTCTAGGCTGCGGACCTCGAGAGCTGCAACATCTTGCTTGCGGCAGGGCTGCCCAGCATGGATTGCGTATTTCTCATGAGACCGCACATAGGTGTTAAGCAACCGCGGAAAAACAGATCGATCAGACGGCCCGAATCGCATCCGCAGCATACCAACGTTTTGGTTTTCAATTGTTACAACTCAAATTGTCCCGAGTAACTCAGACGAGCCTGGATTAATATTTCAATGTCGTGCTCTATGGTGACCGCTTGCGGTTTTTAGCCCCTGAGCTTGCAAATGTTGTTTGGCTGGTGATGCATGTGAACCACCTTCAACTTAACCGAATTATACTGAAGCAGGTTGTGGGATGGTCACAATCGCACTGTCCATCATCATTATACACGTTAGTTTACTCACTATATTTTACTTCGGACAGCTCCTGCGACAGAACGAGTCGGCTTCATGAATGCCGCGGATTGCAGCTGCCCAAGCGCGGCGAACGGCGGCAAGCTCCAGGCTGATAATGACCCAATGATTCCTCCAGTAAGGAGCATCATGCACAACTGGAGCCCCAGAAGGTTGACGTCCAATTTCACTGCAGCTAGCCACGTTTTCAATTGTCCACCACGGCGACCACACCAACCCTAGCAAAGCGACGGTGAAACAACGGCCTAATGAAGTCACTGTCTGGTCTGCAGAGGAGGTGACCGAACCACTGAAGTCTGCGGCGTTGGATGGGCGTTGTGAGCTTCGGAAGACCATCATGGATGATACGCTCATGCCACTGCCTTTTCAAGATAAGTCTTAGACACCAATGGTCGAGGACTTCCAGCTTCCGGGTGTCTTCGGATCGCAGCGGCCATGTTTCGCAACAATATAGTGAAATGGCACGAATGGTCGCTGAGAATACTCAGATCTTCGTTTTCAGACTAATTTCCATCCTTCGCCACAATGTGTTTCTCAGCTCTAAGAAGGCTGTTCTAGCGCTGTCAATACGATTCCGGATGTAGCCGGACCATTGGAGTATAGTGGATCCAAGATACTTGAATTCAGGAACAGATTCTATGTAAGGAGAACGACGGGCGGACTGGGTGGCTAACGAATGGGAAGTACTTCGTTTTGCTGATGTTAATTTCGAGACCGACCATAGTGACATAGCATCCTCCGCAAGGATAGAGATATCGTCAGCAAACTTTAGACCGGACAGACAGAAGTCAGGGCTAAGTTGAACACCACGATAGCCCTAAAGGGCATGGTGCGTAACCCAGTCGACTGCGAAGTTGAACAGCACTAGAGAAAGTGGGTAACTGTTAGACTCCAGTATTTCTGTCAAATTCCTGTTTCTTCTCTATAGACCGGAATCCGGGTCTTCATGCAACGATAGTATGATCTCATTAAGATAACGGGTTTAACTGACACGCCATCGGGAAGTAGGATTCTCCGGAGTACTTCAAGGTCAACTGAGTCAAAGGCAGCTCGAAAATCAACGAAGCGCAAAAAACGTGGGCTGCTGAAACAGGTAGGGTGAAGATTTGGTCAGTGCAGCCTCCGTCAGGACGAAAACCACCTTCGTTATGGCGAGTTCACAGGTTCCTCTCATTGGCAAAACAGAAAAGCAAGATTCGTGCGAAGGTTTTGGTAGCTACATCGATTAGGTTAATTCAGCGATAATTACAGCATACAGTTCGGTTACCATTCTTGGGAAATGGTAGTACCACTGAGGTACTCCACGAGGAAGAACAGATTTGGTCTCCCATATCGAGTAGAAGAGCTCGATCAAATGGTCAAGGGGAGCTGGTAGACAAAATTTGTTGATCTCCTTAGTCTGCTCCAAGAGCTTTCTTCGGTTTCAGGCGACGAACGATGTCTGCGATTTCTATGGTTGATGGCGATGAACAATTTGCGTCATATCCTGAGTGGGTTAATGCTGAACTGGGTGCGATGGTGTATAGTGGACGATTTTTGAGGTTGCTAAAATACTCTACCCATCTGGAAAGTTTTCTTTCGGTATCAGGAATGATTTGGTCATCCGATTTGAGCAATATCGGCTGTGGTGAATAGCGCTTGCCGGAACCTATACGGACGAGACGAAAGAGATGACCCAAATTGCCAGAATTTGATGCAGCTTCCATGTTGCCTGCGATATCAGACCAGTAGCGGTTGTGATTATTCCGTGCCGAGCGGGTTGCCTCACGTCTCAAGCGACGGTAGTCTGGGGAAGTCGTGAGACCTGCCTCTCTCGCTCAAGCGTATAGTATCTTCAGTGATCCAGTCGCTCACAGTCTTAGTAGAGCATAGGGTAGATAAGGCGGCGCGTTGAACTGACAATTTTAGCCGATGCCAACGAGTGTCTATAGCTTCAACTTCTGCAAGTACGAGGCGTGGTGCAAGGCAGAATTTTTTGCTTCTATTGCTGCCTCAAGGGATCGGCAGCAGTCAGTATTTTCCAGTGAGGAAGTGTTTTCAAGCCTTGGCGGAAAGGTGAGCCGGGGCGTTGTCGAGCGCAGTCAGGATTTGACGCTTAGGAGTATGTGGTGTTCCGGCCCACTGTGGTAAAGCTAATATGAGGTGTATACACAAGGAAATCTGATTTGTTGAGCCATAGCCAGGTATTTGAGATTCTGACAGGCATGCCAAGTCGATCTGGTAGTCATGTAGTGTGCGCATCGTCAACGCTTGGCTGCCGACATCCAACAGCGTTCTGACATTCCAGCATCCAATGAACAGTGGCTCCAAATGATTGAGGGATCCAGCTAGTTTACTTGTCACTCTGGCCCCTGGATTGGTACATAGTGCGTCGACTACCGGGAACGCCTTAGCTACAGTTGTGAAACAACTCAGCTACTGCGTCGCAATACATAAAGGAAAAAAGGGAAAAATGCAACAGATGCATGCTAGCTGAGCTACCAGTAACAGATGGGCATCGTTTCGATAAGCTCCCAGCCAGGCTCTATGCAACAAAAAAATTTAGCATGCAAAGTGATATTAAGCTAAGATGTGAGATTGCGGTTGGAGAGGGAGCTAAGGGATGGGGTGGGACAAAGAAAGTTTAGAGCACGAACGTTATTGAGGTCGGCTCCTAGTCATGTCAGCAAATGTATCCAGACAAACGTGTTCATCCTCTTTCGGACCCCAACCAGGGAGCAGAGAAGCTCCAACCGAGGTCAGCTTGGAAGTGAGGGCCTTCATTCCTCTTGGCCAAGTCATCGCTTGGCCACCCCTCCTCTTCTTCTATCCACATCCCCGGCGAGCAAACAACGCACGTCGAGGAAGTCGGTGGGCTGGCATGCGTAACACCTGGCCGAGCCATCGGAGCCTGGTGCGTGAAATAACGGTGCTGTGGTTCATTTTCTTTTCCTGTGCCGTAAAAAAGACGTCGAACACGCTCGTTACTCACGCAGTGTTCCAACCAGATGTAAGCCAAACTGCGAAGACACCGTTGGTCAAACGTAACTAGCCTCTTTAGGTCCGCTGATCTAAGGGGCCAGGTTTCACAACCGTACAGTAAGGTCGAACGTACCGCTGCATTGTACACTCTATCCTTCAGGGCGACAGTGATGTTGCGCCTGCGCCGTAGGTGGCAAAGGCTAGCAAAAGCACCTCGAGCTTTTGCTACACGGTTCGTGATCTCATATTCGATCCCACGGGTGCTGATACAACTTCCCAGGTAGTTGAATTTTTGTACGACTTCCAGCTGATCCCCAC